AAGCACAAAATGCCTCCGGAAAATTCCTTATGATATGGCGAAACCACATTTAGACGTTACCTGAATTTAGAAAAGTGTGCCTCTTCACCCGACTCTCGGTTATCACACGCACTCCCAACACACACACACACACACACACACACACACACACACACACACACACACACACACACACACACCACACACACACACACATCCACAACACACACACGCACACTGAGCAAGCAAAGTGAACGAGGATGGAGTCTGTGAGCGTCTCCATCCGTGTGCGCCCTCTCAACGACAGGTACGTGCAAGAACAAAACAACACCACAGGGTGCAACAGCCATGCCATCTCACGCCTGTTGTCAGCACTCGTGCACTCACAACAACTGGACCCCACTCATTCATTCACATTCTTTCTTGCATACACCTTTGACTCATCCGCTTGGCAGAGAGGCGCAGTCCAATGCACACGTCTCCTGGGATGTCGACCAGAACTCAATCACACAATGCAACCGACCACCGCAAGCGCCGCGATACGTGTTTGGTACGTCAACTCGGAGCGACGGGAAGGACGGAATGAGTGAAAGGACTCAGCAACACCATGAGCACGTGGTACCCTCCTTTTACTCATTCATACACACACCGAAAGCTTTTTCAACATTGTTTGCAACCTCGTTGCTCACTCGACACTCCCACCTCACACCCACACCCCACCACAACACATGAACCCTGTTTGCCGCACCGCAGACAATGTGTTCAACATGGATTCAAGGACCAAGATGGTGTATGAAAAATCCGCACGCCCGATTGTCGACGCCACGATGGCAGGCATGCACGGTACGCACACCCAACACATCGGCCTTTCGTGCTTGTTCACACCGACGCACATCCACCAGCGCACGCGTGCATGGCTCATCAACGACTCATGGGCACACCCCCCAGATACACACACACATGAAAACATACACGCGTGAACACACACACACACACACACACACACACACATACGTATACACATATTCACCCGCACCAAGCCCGCTCGATCCACAATTCAACTCACGACTGGCTGCGCTGATCCACCAATGAACACTGCAGGCACCATCTTCGCGTATGGGCAGACCTCGTCTGGTAAGACGCACACCATGATGGGCGAACCCACAGAGGAAGGCATCATCCCTCTTTCCATTCAAGACATCTTCAACAGCATCGAGAAGGTGTGTACTTGTGTGTGTGTGCGCACGCGCGTGTGTGTGTGTGCGTGTCCAAAGTTGTCTGCGTGTGATGCAACAGTGACACGTACGTTGTGTGTCGAAATACACAAATGTCAACTGTTTGACTCAACATATCCACGCGTTGTTGCTGTTGTTCTGCTTTGCTGTTATCTGCTTTGTTTTGACACCCTTGCAGACACCAGATCGCGAGTTCCTGCTCCGCGTCTCCTTCATGGAAATCTACAACGAGGTGTGATGTTGCTGCATATTGTGCGAAGCGCCGTCTCATGTCAAGAGAGCGGCCATGTTGCTCATGCCGCCATTTGCTTGGGTCCTGTCACCATTTTCTTTCCATCACCAAACACACACACACACACACACACACACACACACACACACACACACACACACACACACACACACACACACACACACGCGCGCGCGCGCGCGCACCATGCCACCCCCCCCCACCCCCACACACACACACAAACACTGTACTCACACATTCGTCGTCCCCCCCCCCCAATTTTCCTTGCTTAAGGTCATTGCGGACCTGCTGGCACCGGAGAACAACAATCTGAAGGTGCACGAGACGAGCGAGGGCGACATCTACGTTGGCGGGCTGACGGAGGAGGTGGTGTGCTCCCCAGAGGAAATCTTGCGCCACATGCAGATTGGGCAGAAGAATAGGAAGACCGGCAGCACGCGCATGAACGACCGCAGCTCCCGCTCCCACACCATCTTCCGCATTGTCGTCGAGAGCCGCGAGTGCACGCCTGCCTCATCTGAGTCATCCGGCGAACAGGACCGCCAATCCATGGACGGCAACGGCGCCGTGCGCGTTGCCCACCTCAACCTGGTCGACCTTGCTGGCTCAGAGCGCGTGTCGCTGACGGGCGCAGAAGGTCAACGCCTGAAGGAGGGCGCACACATCAACAAGTCGCTGCTCACGCTGGGCACGGTCATTGCCAAGCTGTCCGATGGCGTGACGAGCGAGACGGGCCATATCCCCTATCGCGACTCAAAGCTCACGCGCATTCTGCAGAACTCGCTTGGCGGCAACGCCCGAACCGCTATCATCTGCACCATCACGCCCGCCAGCCTGCACGTGGACGAGAGCATCAGCACGCTCAAATTTGCCAGCCGCGCCAAGACCATCAAGAACAACGTGGTGGTGAACGAGGTGTACGACGACGCTGCCATGCTGCGCAAGATGAAGCGGGAAATCAACCAGCTCAAGAAGCGCAACCAACTGCTTGAAGATGGCTCGGAGCTGCAGGCCCTCAAGTCCGAGAAGCAGTCGCTTGAAGAAGCGTTGAAGCAGCGTGACGTCGCCTCGCAGCGCCAGGCCGCACAGCTCGACCGTCTCAAGCGTGTCATTCTCACATCAAACACCGTGCATGCGCTCGTTGGCCCACCGCCAGCCGCAGCAAAGCAGATCAAGACGCGCCGTAACCGTCGCAAGACATGGTGCCCTGGCCTGAGCGAGGACAGCGTGGCGAAGCGGTCGCTTGGTCTCCTCTTCTCGCCATCCAAAGCAGCAACAAGCTCGTCATCATCATCAACACGCCCACGCCAGCGGTCCATGTTTCTGGAGGCGAGCAACGAGGAGCAGGCCTCCGCCCTGTCGCAGTTTAAAGGCGCGCGCAACCACGCAGCCGACAGCAACAATGACAGTGCTGACGGCACAAACACCACCACCACCACCACCACCAGTGGCACTGACACTGCACAGCCGGCCACTGAATACCCAGGTGATACTTCAACAGCAAGCGGCAGTGGTGCAGGTGCACGACGCAAGCGCTCCCTGTTTGGCAACGGCGTCCCACGGCTGAAGACGGCCAAGGACACCATGGCCACGTTCAAGCGCAAGGCCCGCGCCCGCCGCTCACTCGCCTCCTCAGCAGCAAACCTGGAGCTGATGAATGGCCTCCTTAGCGCCGGTGTTCACGGCGGTAGCTGCGGCAGCAGCAGCATTGGTGGCAACGTTGGTGTTGGCGGGATGCAGTCCATCCCGGAAGACGCCCCCGTTGCCGACGACCACGACAGCGCACGCCCCGTGGCCACACGCGCAGATATCTTCAAGGCAAAGGCGCAGCGGCTGCAGACGGATTTGATCGAGAAGCAGCGCGAGCTTGAGAGTATGCGGGAGGCGCTTGACACTGCTGAGGCGAAGCTTGCTGAAGCGCAGGCGGCACACCAACAGCAGGCAGCCACGGGAGTAAGCACGCAGCACGACGACGAGGAGGTGGCGCGATGGCAGGCGGAGCTCAAGTCTCTGCACGACACGCTGGCGAGCCAGCACGCGCACGTGGAGGCACTGGAGGGCCGCATTGTTGAGCAGCAACAGCACTTTGAAACGGAGCTGAAGGAAGCGCGCGAGAACACGGGGTTCCTCCAGGAAGAACTGGATATTTTGCGCGAGACATGCGACCAAGAGCAGGCAGCAACGGCTGCTCTCAAGCAGGAGGTGACGGCACTGCAGGCGCGCATTGACGAGCAAGCAACACAGCTCGCCGCACAGCAGGAGAAGCTGAGCGCTGCTGACACGGAGCACGAGACACTGGCGAAGACGGTCGCTGAGAAGGACGCGCGTATTGCTGAGCTTGAAGCCGAAGTTGTGCAGACACGCACAGCTGCCAAGGAGGAGGCAACGCGTGAGCTGCAGGCGGAGATGGATGCGGCCAGGAACGAGGCACAGCAAGCGTTGCGCGAGCGCCAGGAGAAGGAGGATGCTCTGTGTGAACTTGAGGTCAAGTTGGCCTCGCAGACGCGCAAGTTGAACGAGATGATGTCTGAGCTCACCACTCAGCGTGGCGGTGACGATAGTGACACCGATGGCGATGCTGCCGCTGAGAAGGCGAGGATGAAGACGGAAGAAGAAGAAGAAGAGGAAAAGAGGCGTGGCATGGAGCGTGAGATGCAACAGCAGTTGGAGACCATGACAGCTGCGATTCGTAAGCTGCACAACATGCTCAATGCCACCCCGTCGCCATCAGCCACGACAACCACTCACGGGGATGGTGATGCCTCTCAAGCCACTTCCGCTGCTCAGCTGTCCACGCAGGACATGGTTGCAGCTGTGGTGGAGGCCGTCGAGGCAATGCAGAAGGAGCTTGCAGCCAGCAAGGAGCAATCACAGACGCTGCTGAGCGATATTGCGCAGCAGAAGCAAGATGCCGCAGCCGCTGCGGCCCGCTCGGCAGAGGAGCACGAGAGCCTGGAGGCGTATGTGCAGCAGCTGCAGACGCAGCTCGTTGACGCTCAGCAGGAGCACGCTGAGGTCGACGCGAAGCTTCAGCAACAGCAACAAGAGCTCGAAGCCCTGCAAGTGGAACAGCAGAAGCAACGTGCGCAGCAACAAGAAGAAGAAGACGCAGAAGAGACAGCCGCTGCAGACACGCCTGCTGCCGTCAACGTTGAGGCCGTGCGTGAGGAAATGAAGGATGAAGTTCGGGCCGAGCTGGAGGCCTTCTACATTGCACAGCAGCAGGAGCTGTCCGCCGACCACGACCGCCGTGTGCAGCAGTTGATGGAAGCGCATCAGCAGCAGCTGCGAGAGGAGACGGCCAAGCTGGACGCCATGCAGACGGAAGTTGAGGCCCTGGTGATGGCGAGCGAGAGCCAGACCCAGAGCCAGGAGGACAAGGCCACCCTGTCTGTTGAGGAGCACGAGCGTGTTCTGACCGAGGCCAAGGCAGAGTGGGAGAAGCAGGCTGCTACCCTTCAGCAGGAGCTGTCCTCAGCCCACGCAGAGCACGACGCGCACATGCAACAACTGCGCAGCGACCTGGACGCCGCCAAGGAGAAGCTGGTGGTGGCTGCAGAGGAGAAGGAAACAGCACATGCAAAGGTTGCTGCCCTTCAAGCAGAGCTTGACAGCGCGACGGCAGCCCACGACGAAGCCGTGCAGGCGCTGCAGGAGGAAGTGGCAGACATGCGTGCGGAGCTCATGGAGATGGAGGCGGAGCGTGACGCCCTCTCGTATGAGTACACCGTGATGAAGGCGCGCACACGCCAGCTGCAGCAGTCCCTGTGCGCACTACAGCACCAGCTCAAGGAGGCCACAGCGGCACAAGCAACACGCATGGAGCAAGATGCAGTGGCTTGTTCGGGTGACAGCGCGGGTGATGACTGCAGCAACGCACGCACAGACGCAGATGCAACTTGCACCAGCAGCAGTAACATCAGCAGCAACAGTGATGGTGATGTCAAGCAAGCTGGCAACACCGCTATCACTGCAGAGACCACGAACAACAACAACAACAGCAGCAGCAGCAGCAGCCATGACGACGACGGCGACAACGACAATGCTGATGACGATGACGAGTCACCAAAGCGGAAGGGCGATTCAAGGCGCTTTGGCCGCCGCAAGCGCAAGAAGAAGCTGGGTGGTCGCGGCGAGCTGACAAGCCCAACAACACTTGCCCAGCCCAAGTCTGGCTTCCGCTCGCTGGTGAGCAAGCTCATGACGCCGATTCGCCGCAAGAACAAGCAGCACCGCAAGAAGGGCAAAGGAGGCGACGATGACAATGAAGGCAGCGCGTGCGCAGCCGGTAGCAGCAGTGCGGCTGCGACCCCTGTGCGTGAGACAACCAACAAGCCGCGCATGGCAGCCCTGCTGTCACCAAGCACACCTGCACCCTCCACGCCGCTTACAATGAACAACAACAGCAGCAGTAAGGGGCACAGCGAATCTGTGACCTCCACACCCAACACCACGACAACAACCGTGTCGATGGACCACGCGAACGCCTCGCCTGCATTGGCGTCACCAAAGGACCGCAACCACACGCACGCGCTGAGCACCCGCTTTGAGGAGCTGACGGCGGCGCACACGGCGCTGCAGGACGCTCAGGCGAACCTGAACGCACAGCTGCAGGCCGCCACAGAGCAGGTGACCGTGTCCCAGGAACGCATTGCCGAGCTGGAGGCAGAGGCCGCGCGTGTGTCTGAGGCGCTCAAGGGCGCGGAAGAGCAACGTGATGCGGCACAGAGTGCGCTGCACCAAGCGGAGGACGTCCACAAGTCGGCCGTCTCCGCGCTGGAATCGCAGCTGGCAGAACTGCGCTCCGAGCACGCGCAGGCCACAACAGCAAAAGCAGAGCTTGCGGCACGTGTTGAGCAGCTGCAAACCGCAGGGGACGAGGCAACAACGCTGCTGGCGGAAGCAAAGGCGACATCGGAGCGCCTGACCACGCTCGAGGAAGAAAACACGGAGATGGCCAGCTACGTCGAGGAGCTGGAGACAGTGAACGAGCGCCTGCTGTCTCAGCTGGAAACAATGCAGCAAGAGGTTGAGGAGGCGCACGCGCAGCGCGAACAGGCGCTTGCCTCCATGATGAACACAGCTGATGGTGATGGTGACGCTGATGGTGCCGGCCATGAAACCTCAGGTAATGATAATGATGCTGTGGCTGGCGAGACAAAGGCCGAAGATGAGGCGAATGCAGAAGAAGCGGAGAACGAGCACAAGCAAGGCGATGCGACGGCTGCAACTGCATCTTCAACACCCGTGAAAATGGAAGAGGACACCGATGCTGCCACGGCTGAGAGCGGCGAGGAGACGTCAGAGACAGCAGTTACAGACCTCGCTTCCCTTCAGGAGCTGGAGAAGGAGTGCACGGTTCTGAAGCAACGGGTTACTGACCTTGAGCAGTCACTCGAGCAGCAAGAGACATCATTCGCAGATGAGCGTGCACACCTGGTCGAGGCAAGGGAAGCCGCCACTGCCAAGTGCACGCAGCTTGCCACAGCGCTTGCCACAGTGCGGCAGGACGTGCAAGCGCTGTGCGCTGTGCGCGAGCAACTGAAACAGGACGTTGCTGCGGCTGCGCGTCAGCATGAGGAAGGCGTAGAGAAGTGCCAGGTGGCACTGACACAGCAGAGCCAGGCAGCCCAGCACGCCCGCGAGGAAGTTTCTCGGCTGGAAGCCGAGCTGACGACCATGGCTAGCAAACTGGCGGAAGCAGAGGCTGTTGCGCATGCGCTGCAGAGTGAGGCAGCAGCAACGACAACCGCCACGGAGCAGGAGGTTGTCAGCGCCAGGCAAGAGCTGCAGCGCGTGCAGGAAGAGTGCACCGAGCTGCGCAAGGCTATGGCAACCAAGGACAACGAGGCTGTATCGCAGCTTGAGAAGCTGCAACAGGAGCACGCAGCTGCCGCTGCAAGCGTGTCGCAGCTGCAGGCGTCTGTGGAATCGCTGTCCAGCGAGCTGACAACTATGTCACTGGAGAAGGAGGACGCCCTGCAGCGCTGCAAGGCGCTTGAGGAACAGTGCGCACGCGTGCGTGCGCGTGCAGCCGCGAGCGAGCAAGAGGCACAGGCGGCGCTTGCCCGTGCACAGGAGGACAAGTCCACACGCGTGCAGCAGCTGGAAGCGGAGCGCACTGCCCTGAGCAAGGAGGCAAAGCATCTTCGCACTCAGGTGCAGGACCAAGTTCGCTTGCTGGACACTGCGCGTGACGCGCGCCTGGAGATGGAGGTGGAGCTTGAGCACGCGCGTGCACAAAGCCAAGAGCTGCAGGCGCAGGTGGACAAGCTGTGCGCTGCCGTGCGAGACATGGAAACCAAGGCGAACGAGCAGCAGCAGGCGCACGCTGGTGATGTGGAGGCATTGCAGCGTAAGTTGGCAAGCGCGGTTGCTGCGAAGGAGAGCGCAGAGCAGCGGGTGGCTGAGCTTGAGTCGAGCAAGACCAAGGCTGAGGAGTCGTGTGCAACGCTGCGCAAGGACTGGCAGCGGGCAAGCCGCAAGCTCAAGAAGCTGACGGCTGCGGCCAACTGCGACGACTACTGGCAGCGACAGGCGGAGGAGTTGAAGGCACACGTGGAGCGCCTGCAACAGGAGGCGGACTCCGCGTCCGGTCTTGGCGCAAAGGTGGAAACGCTGCAGCAGGAGCTCGCTGCGATGACAAAGGCCAGCGAGGGTGTTGGTAGCGAGCTTGAGCAGACCAAGGCCGCGTTGGGGGAGAAGCAGCGTGAGCTGCAGAAGCTTCGATTGAAGGTGGACACGATGCAGGCGTACAACGACCAGCTGCAGGACAAGTTGAAGGAGCAGGGCAGCGTGGCCGGAGAGAGCGATGCGCCGGGGCAGGTTGGCCAGTCTGCCAACTACGAGCTGAAGGAAAAGAACAAGCGGCTTGTGAGGCAGCTTGAGCAGAAGCAAACGGAGTGCAAGCGGCTTGCGCAGCAGCTTACCAAGCTCGGGCACGCTGCGGAGGTGTCTGCCCTGCCGTCGCTGCCCACGTCTGCCTCTGCCTCCATGTCCATGCCGATGGGTCTTGGCGTGAGCAACAACGCCAACCCGCTCTCCGTGAGCGTGGCCAGCACCATCAAGGGCACCGCGGCGGATGGCGGCTCTGAGTTTGCTGGCATGATGACAAGCACACCGGAGCCAAAGGGGCTGCGGGCTCGCTCGACCCGGCGCGGAGCCATCGCAAAGATGGCGAGCGTGAAGGAGGAGAGCTGTGGCGATGAAGATGCTGCTGGTGTTGACAACGAGCGTGAGGACGCGGGACGAGAGGATCAGGACCGAGCACAGCCGCTGAGTAAGCGCAGCAAGGTTGGGCGCAGCGCTTGTGGTGGCTTGCAAGAGCGCAACCAGCGAGTCGGTGGCAATGACGGTGTTGGCAATGATGCTGTGGGTGATGCTGTTGCTGCGAGCAAGAAGGCTGCGACTCGGGAGAAGCAGAAGAAGGGCTCTGGCACCATGCGCGAGGACCCTGATGCTGAAAACCAGGAGAACGGCAACAGCAGTGGCAACAGCAAGGGTGCGGTGAAGCTGTCGCTAAATGAGTCTGTGATCTCTCCCTCGCGTGCACTGTATGAGCGGGCGAAGGCGCAGAGGCGTAAACCGGGCCAGCAAGAGGCAGCCGTCGCGGACCAGTGCAACCAGCAGTAGCTGGGCCGTGGACATGTGGTGCACGTGCATCGTCGAATGCGTGCGTTTCGAAGAAGGCGGATGTGGTGGTGGTGGTGGGGGGGGGACACGCGTGCACCCATGTGTGTGTGCCTTGTGTGTTCTTATCACTGAGCGTGTGTATCGTAGTACGTGTTTGTTTGTGTTTCCTTCTTTGTGTTATGTCCATGTGGTTTGTGTTTTCATTGATTGACCAGAAAGCAAAGGCGAAGCGAGTGTTCATTCATTGTTTGTCATTTTGTTCCAGAAACGTGCTGTTGTGCGCTTATACGCCACCTCAAATGAAGCGTTAATGAGAGACAGGGGCAAGAAAGCAAACAAGTTTTGGAGAAGGAAGGAGTGAGTTCTGTAATGTAGCAACTGGGGGAGGAGGATGTGTTTAACTTAATACATAGCGGCGTGTGTGTGTGTGTGTGTGTGTGTGTGTGTGTGTGTGTGTGTGTGTGTGTGTGTGTGTGTGTGTGTGTGACAGCGGCGATGTTACGCATTCTCTTCATCTTCCTCGTCGGAAGACCAGTCGTCTTCGTCGTCAATGACATCATCAGCCGGAGGTGCAGATGTGCTCGCTCCCGACACTCGTGGGGCGGGCTGCGTTGCCGCTGTTGCAGCTGCCGTCGTTGTGGCCGCTGCTGACGGTGCTGTGGTGACGCGTGCCAGTTTCGCTGGTGGTTCATCCCCAGCACGCGCCCACGCGAGCTCCGAATCACTCGGTTGTTGTTGTTGTTGTTGTTGTTGTTGTTGTTGTTGTTGTTGTTGTTGTTGTTGTTGTTGTTGTTGTTGTTGTTGTTGTTGTTGTTGTTGTTGTTGTTGTCGCTGTTGTTGTTGTTGTTGTTGTTGTTGTTGTTGTCGCTGTTGTTGTTCTTGTTGTTGTTGTTGTTGTTGTTGTTCTTCTTCTTCTTCTTCTACTACTTTTTTGTGGAGGGCTGAGGATGGTGTGATGGACGACCAGATAATGTCCCCTGCGGGCCGAACTCCCCGCTGTAATCGGTGCAGTGCAGGCGCCTCCAACGACAAGCGCACAGGCAGCGGAAACCGCCTGTCCATGTCCCGCATCGACGCAGCGAGATGGCGCGTCATATCTGGTGTTGGGTGCGTGATGACCCGCGGCGCCTTCCACAGCGCCAGACTGCCAATCGCAGATGCCGACACGATGATTGGGGGTTGCCCGTGCGTGCGCGTGGCTGTGACTGCGCTGACGGCTGCAAAGTGGCCCAGGAGCGTGGTCGTGGCCTGGCCCGTCTCAAGGTCGTGCACAAGCAGGCCCGTGTGGTCTGTGGCGGCAGAGTACATGAGCGTGCGGCCGTGGGCGTTGGTGATGGCGCAGGACCGTGCAGAGGTGCTGTGGTCCTTGGTGAAGTGCACGAGCGTGTTCCTGAATGTGCGCATGTCCCACTTGCGTCGCGACTCCCCACACGTGATTATGTGCTCGCCGTCTGGCGTGAAGGCGGCAAATGCAACAGCGCCGTGGTGTGCACGCCGCATGCGCGCTGTTGCCTGCACGTTGTTACGTGCATCCAGCACGCTGAGGCACGGCTTTGCTCGTCGCACGTCCCACACCAGCACCTGCCCGTCGATGGTGCCGGACACAAGGAGGTGTTCGCTGGTGGGCGACCAGCACACGCACGTGGACGCCTTCTGGTGGATGGAGAGCGAGTGCGTGCGCATGCCCGTGCGTAGGTCGCACAGCACGACGGCGGGGCCCGTGGCGAGGGCGATGAGCTCGTGGCCGCTGGCAACGGGCGACTGCGCGTGGTGACGCAGGGTCTGGAAGCCCGTGAACTCCTCAATGACGGCAAGCTCGTTTGTGTCCCAGCACTTGAGGTTTCCGTCCCGTGCGCTTGAGGTGAACATGCCGCTGTCCTGGGGATACCACTGCACGGTTCCGATGCCGCCCGTGTGCGCGCCCTCCCTCCCGGCGGAGATGAAGGCCACCTCGGGCACGCGGCATGCGAGGGCTCGGTTGCGCCGGCGGGTTGCACGGTCCTCCTCCCGCAGCCGCTGCGCCAGGTTGGCACCGCCGTAGCTGATCATAGGTCGGGGCTCTGCTTGGTCTGTCAGCGTCGGTGATGGTGGTGTGCGCGGTGTGGGAATCATGTCGGCGACCCACTCCATGCTCGCACTGTCATCAAAGCTATCGTTTGCCGCATCATCATCATCATCATCATCATCATCATCATCATCATCATGTTCAGCACCATCACCGATGCTTGCACCGGTGCCACCTCGACCGCGACGGCTGCGCGTTGAGCTTTGAGAAGCGCCGTCGCCGTAGTCATCGCACGGGGTGGGCACGTCCATACCCAAGCTTTGGCGCCGCACGGGCTCCAGGTCGTGGATGCGGATGTGTTTGGAGGTGCCAGCAGAGAGCAAGTACCTGTTTTCTGCGCGGTCAATATCCAGGAAGGCAATCTTCTTGTTCTCCGGTCGGTGCACGAGGATGTGTGCGTTCTGCAGCTCCACCTGCGTCTCCGCCAGCTGTGCCAGCCGCCGCTTCCACGGTTCGCAAGGCAGCAGGCCCCGCATCAGCGCATGTCGGTGCAGCACATCCATCGTGCACAACACAGGTCGCAGATGGTCACTGACTGTCGCCGGCACCACAAAACGCAGCAGAGGGAGGACACTTGGTTGATGGATGATGCGAACTGTGATGATGATGATGATGATGATGATGGTGCTGATGGTGCTGGTGGTTGCGGGCGGACTTTGTGGCGTGGTGGAAGCTGTGGGAGGGGAGATGGCGACAGGGCACGATGGAGTGATGGCGCTGCTGGCTGCTTGTGGATTGACTGCGGCTGTGGCTGCGGCAGCGGTGCTGTGGCACAACGTCCACAGCCTCGGCATCCAGGTTGCTCCAGCCGACGATGGCACTGCCGATGCCACTGATGACGGGACGAACAAGCAAGCGACAGCAAGCCACAGTGTACACATTGAACGAGGCATCATCCCATGGATTGGGTGCGTGCGTGTTATACGTGTGTGTGCGTGTGATAATTGTGTGAGTGAGATAACTGCGTGTGTGTGTGTGCGTGTGTGTGTGTGTGGCCGTGTGTGCATGTATGGCCGTGTTGTAAGTGTGTGATCACTCTGTGTGTGTGTGTGTGTGTGAGTGAGATAAATGTGTGTGTGTGTGTGTGTGTGTGTGTGCGTGTGTGTGTGTGTGTTGGGGGTGTCTCGTATTCACTGCAAGTCAGAGGCTGCCGCTCAGTTTCACTGTACCCCAACTGACGCACCCTGCTTGCTTGGTGCCACAGATGCGGCCTGTCTTTCATCAAGAACCCAACAAAGTATCTCGAAGACATGAGAGCGCAGCATGGTGACACGTTCGTCGTACTCATGTTCGGGGTGCGGTTCCTCTTCACGTTCAGCCCTGAAGGTAGTTGCGCTCTCTTTGGTTGTTTGTGCCTGAGCCAGGTTGCGCTTAGCTGCTCCAAGTATCCGCTGGACAAGACTGTGATTTGTGTCATCGCGCTCACACACACGTGTGGTGGGTGCTTGCTTGGACTACGCGACCCCCTTCAGGGCTGCAGAGCTTGTATGGGTTTCGGGAACGAGACGCGAGCTTCACAGAAGCCACAAAGGGCCTCCTCGGCCTCAAACTGCCGCAGGAAGTACGATTCGATATGCGCGAGGACAAACACTGCTTTCGTACATGCACGGGCTTGTGTTTACATGATTAGTGCTGAAGAATCAGCTGACATGCACAACACACTCATACATGGGTGAAAGGCCTCCAAACTCATCAAACACACACACACACATACTCAATCTCTTTCTTACTTGCTCACTTGCTCACTCAATCATTCGCTCTCGACCCTCAGATCCTGAGCGAGAATGACCTGCGCAAGTTCCATCACGGCCTGAAACCAAAACTCATGTCCAAGTACGTGACATATGCAAACGTGGCCGTGCAGCAGCGGCTGCGGGAGCTTGGAGCAGAGGGCAGGTTTGAGCTGTTCCAGTACCTGAAGAAAGTGGTGCACACGATTGGGATGACGTGCTGGGTTGGACCCAAGGCGCTCGAACCGCCATACTTTGAGCGGCTCATCCGTGCCTATGAGGCCCTTGATCCTGAAGACGGGTTCCAGGACCTGAGCAGGCTGTTCAGCACGCTTGCACTGCGCCGCACGCGCGAGAAGCGAGCCCTCAACGACATGGAGGCCGTGCTCAAGGCCATCTGGCTCGATCAAGGTGTGCTCGTGTGTGTGTGTGCAATGAAGAGACGTTACATTCCCCAGTATTGTTCAAAATCCG